GCCAGGGTGACCTGAAATCCTCAGAAACTGTGAGCTAAGGTCTATCTTGCTTTCCTTAAGTTGCTTCTATCAAATATTTTTGTCCCCATGATGAAAAGGTAACAAATACAGAAATTTGATGACTGTTTCATGACAGAGGAGATGCTGGGTGACCTCAGTGGCCGGGCCAATTTTCCATGCAAATGTCTACACCCTTTCTGAAACATTGTTCTTGGAACGCTGGAGCCTCTATACGAGTGGTTCTCAACCTGTGGGGTCTCGACCCCTTGGGGATTCATATGACCCTTTCACAGGGGTCACCTAAAACCACAGGAAAACACAGATATTTACATTATGATTCATAACAGTAGCAAAACTACAGTTATGAAGTTGCAATGAAAATAATTTTATGGTTGGGGGTCGCCACAACATGAAGAACTGTATTAAAAGGTCGCAGCGTTGGGAAGATTGAGAACCACTGTTCTATACAGTTACCTGAGGCCATCATGCCATGAAGATATCTCAGATGTCCAGAGTATATAAGAGAATGAACAACAGACCCAGCTAAACCTGGTCTTCCAATCACCCAGCCTAGACATTAACCAAAGTGCAAGTTTATTCCAATCTTCACACATTTCAAATCATTCCCTGCCCTTCAAACACAGGATTCATGGCAGAGCTACGTGATTCTGGAGACTCACGTAGACATACAGCGTCTGCTGTGTTCTGGCCAAACCCCCAATCTCCAGAAACAATTGGTTATTGGCTTGTACCACCAAGTTTGAGTGGTTTGGGAGGCAGTGACAGACGACTAGAACACACGGCGGTGACACATCTGTGCCTGTGTGTGCACAGCTCTGTTTGTGTTCGCTTTCCTTTGTTTATTATTATTATTATTATTATTATTATTATTATTATTATTATTATTATTAAGACAGGCTCTCATATATTTCAGGCTGGTCACACACTCACTATGTAGCCAAGGATGACCTTGAACTCCTGGATCCTCCTGCCTCTACCTCCCAGGTGCTGGGACTCCATGCTTTTCTTTGAGATGAGGGTTCTCTCTACGTCAGCCTAGGTTAAACCCTCTCTCTCCTCCGGCATCTGCTTCTCAAGTCACTGGCATTAGAGGCGAGTGACACTCTGCCCAGGTTGACACAGTCAGTGTCTACGTTAGGAATGTCTGTGTTAGAGATGTTCCATCCCTCCCAAAAGAAACTCAATACCCATTAGTAGTCACTCTTTCCCAGCAACACTCGAAAGCCTCCAACCACTCATCTATTGATTTTCTGAATGGTTTAGCCTGTTCTGGGTACTTCGAATCAAAACCGTATGCCTGGGTATGGTGATGCGTATCTGTCATCTCCGCACCTGGAGGTGAACGCAGGATGATCGGGAATCCAGAGTCACCCTTGCCTGCATATAGAACTCAAGACCAGACGGGGCCACCTGAGACCCTGTATCAAGAAACTGCTAAAATGTGTATAGGCCTTTGTGTAGGTCTGCTTCCAGTTAGCAGCATGTTTTACATGCTCACCTGTGCTGTGTCTATGCAGTTCATGTCCTTTTACTGTCTATTGCATGGGTATATCATATGTTATTTATCCACTCAGCAGTAGATGACAATTCAGGTGGTTCCTACCTTTTAGCTACCATGTACATGCTACAAATACATATATATAAAATCATAATATATACAGAGCATACATATTTAATACAATTTTCTATACAAGTTTTTGAGTATATGGTCAAGAATGGAATTATTGGGTCCTATGATAACTTTAATTTTTGTGTGTCCCCATGTGTGTATGCATGCGTGTGTGTGTGTGTGTGTGTGTGTGTGTGTGTAGGAGGGTGTCTATGTGTGTGTGTTTGTCCAGAGTTTGACAATTTCCTCAATTGCTCACCACCTTTATCTTTTTATTTTTCATTTTTTTTTGAGACGAAGTCTCTCACTGCACCCGCAGCCCATTGATTTGGCAGGCTGGCTGGCCCATAAGCTTCAGGGATCTTCCTGTCTCCCTCCCAGGGCTTACAGAGGTACACTGCCATGCCAGTTTATTTATACTTTTTTTTTTTTTGTAGGAATTACAAAACAGTTTGCATCATTTTATATCACCACAAGAAGATGTCTCCTTTATCAAATTCTTAATAATTATTGGTTGTTGTGTATGCAAAGGAGTGTGCATTGCAATGTGTGTATGGAGGTCAAAAGCAAGTCTGGGAAGCCGGTTCTCTCCTTCGTCTTCCCTAAGTTCTAGGGGTTGAATTTAGGTCATCAGGCTTGAGAGACAGGTGCCTTCAGCAGCTGAGTTATCTTGCTGGTCCTTTAAAAATATTTATTACTGCAGGGCGGCGGCGGTGGCACATGCCTTTAATCCCAGCACTCAGGAGACAGAGCCAGGTGGATCTTTGTGAGTTCGAGGCCAGCCTGGGCTACAGAGTGAGTTCCAGGACTGGCACCAAAACTACATGGAGAAACCCTGTCTTGAAAAAGCAATGTGTGTGTGTGTGTGTGTGTGTGTGTGTGTGTGTGTGTGTGTGGTATATGATTAAGATGTCCTTTATTGAGCCAGGCATAGTGGCACGCACCTTTAATCCCAGCATTCAGGAGGCAGAAGTAGGCTAATTTCTGTGAGTTTGAGGCCACCCTGGTCTACAAAACGAGTTCCAGGACAGCCAGGGCTTCACAGAGAAACCATGTCTCAAAAAGAAAAAAAAAAATAATAAAATGCTGCAAGCCATAGGAAAACATAATGGAATTCAGCTACTATCACAAAAGCTACTACTTGGAAAAGTCGAGGACTTCTCCAAAGGTCAAGCCATGGCTTAAGAAGTCTTGGTGATATTCTAGCTTTTGTTATATATATTAGCTCATTCCTACAGTGATTTTCTTGTAATGCTATGTGTGCTTCCAAGAACTCCTAACAGTGTATTTATCTAAAATACCTATCAAGCATCCAAGGCCCAATGAAACAACACCTGTCTCCTAGGTCAGGCGGATAGCTTTATTTCTTGTGCAATTTAGGGTGAGACCCTTCTTTCTTATACAACCTTACTAATGGACCCCTAATTTCTTACCTAACCACTTCTGGGAATGTAGATTGAACACATAAATTCCCTTCTTGATATACTAACTGATCACTAGCTCTCTATTGACCTCCTCCTTTACCACTCCCCTTTTGGGTTGTAAAAGAAAGCCTGGTGGTCACTGCCTGAGGAAAATGCTTACCTGCCTTTATGAACCTGTAAGAATTCAAGCCTGGTGACCTTGCTCGGTGGAGAAGATTGATATAGCTTGGGTTTATAACTGGATTCCTGAGAGAATTGAGAGAATAAGGAGACTGAGAGGAGGAAAGAGAGAGAGAGGAAAAAAGAGAATGGAAGAACTGAATGGGTAAGAACCGGAGAGGAATGACTAGATAGGAAGAACTAGATTGAAGGGCTAGGAGAGAGTATTAGAGGGACAAGATGGAAGATGAGGAAGAGCCAGATGAGGAAGAACAAGATGAGGAAGAATAAGATGAAAAAGGAGGAGATGGGAGAGGAGCTAGGATGGGAAGGAACTAGATGGCTGAGAACCTAGATGGGGCAGAACTAAGATGAGAGAATTAAGATAGAACTTAGAGGAGACAGCAGACAACTATAGAGAGAATTAAACCGAAAGGAACTAGGTTTGAGTACAGAACTGAAGCAGTGCAGGTAGGATTTTATCCCAGAGGAATAAAGTAGATGGAAGAAGAGCCTGATGTACTTAGATCCATTTTCTGAAAAATAGTTCTCACTGTACGTAGTTTTCTCTTCTGAGCCCCTGGGAAGTATAACATTAAGACTGGTCCTTTTAATATTATACAAGAATAAAATGTCCCTTACTTTTATTTAGTTGTTTGAGTGTGTGTCTATGTGAATGTATGCCATGTGTAACAGGTGCTTGGGGAGGCCAGAAGAGAACATCGGGTCCTGTGGAGCTGGGGTTCCAGGTGGATACTTGACAATGGTACCAAACTCAGGTCCTCTGAAAGAGCAGCAAGAGCTCTTAACTTCATTTTTGGTGGTGTTTTGAGACAGGCTTTCTTATGTGTAGCCCTGGCTGTCCTGAAACTCGATCTGTAGACCAGGCTGGCCTCAAATTCAAAAATCAGCTTGCCTCTCTCCCCTGAGTGCTGTGATCAAAGGCGTGCGCCACCACCACCAGCTCTTAACTTCTAAACCCTCTCTCCAGCCCTGAAGAATGTCCTTTTAAGAGCAAATAAGTTATAAGATTTTATTTACTATATCCTGTTTGTTTTTTGAAGTCCTGGCTGGTGTAGAACTTGCTATATAGACCAGGCTGGCCCCTAACTCAGTGATCCACCCACCTCTGCCTCCTGAGTGCTGGGATTAAAGGTGTGGGCCACCATGACTGCCTGATGTCGTTTTTGAGATAGGATCACATTACACAGTCCAGGCTGGTCTGGAACTGGCTGTGTAGCAAAGGCTGGCTTCCCAAGTAGTGACTATCTTCTTACCGGAGCTGTCCAGGTCCTGGGACTATAGGCATTTGCCCCTGTGTCTATCCTTAATGACTACCTTAGAATGAAAACCATTGTACCTATAATGAAAGAAGCAATTAGCAATTCAGCAGAAGGATTATAACTGATAACCAAAAAAAAAAAAAAAAAAAAAAGTGACTTTGGAGTCAACTGGCCTTTTCAAGTAAGGGGTGTCCGCTCAAGGACCAAGGACAGCTGCCCAGGGAGCTGGTGTAGAGACTTGCTTTCCATTCTCAACAAGGTTTTGACACACACACACACACACACACACACACACACACACACACACACACACACACACACACAGAGTAACGGACTCTTGGTTGTGCCCTGGAGCAGGTCACCCTGAGCTGCCTCAGCTAGGGCCTGGTGTTTACTCATTGGGGACAGCAAGACTGAGGCTCAGTTGGGTCGCTTGATTGGAAGTCCAGGCTGCTCCGTTCCCTTGAGGAGCAGGCATGAAAAGCAGAGGACGCCAGCCCGCAGAAGCGGGGACAGGGGCCGAGCTGAGTGCCTGTAAAAAGGCCACTTCAAGCCCCATTGTGGGGACAGCAGCAGGTGGGCATGTCTGCGCTTTGAATGCCTCTTCCCGAGATGCCCTGCGCTAATGGATGTGCATTAACAGCGTCCCTTCCTCGGTCCCCGCTGGAGAACTCTGAATTCCTGAGGAAGGGCAGCCGTCAATGCCTGAGGCTCCCACAAAGGGCCCATTGTGGTCACCGCTGAGTCAGACTGGTGACGGTTGGCACCTGAGCTCAGTCAGTCTGGAGTAAGTGGTTGGCAGGGACGTCATCCGGGAGAGCGGGTTTGAGTGTAACGGCCAGGACATCTTCAGCAAAGACCTCGCCTCCAGGAAGTCCATTCTGACTGCCCAGAAACAGACCCTCGTTTTGAAAAGAGGGTTTGGGGCTAAGGTAAGCTTGGGAAAGGGCACAGGAAGCTCTGCAGCGGAAAACGCCCACGCTCCGCGCAATGGAACAAGAAGAGCGGGACGTTCTAACGCAGGCGTCCTGCGTCACTGCATCACACCATCGTGATGAAATGAATGATACAGAGGCCGTGACCCGGGCTGGCTGGTCAGCCACAGGATGGGTTTGCCAGCAGGCCTGGTACTTAGGAAGAGATCCACCTTGCCCCCCTGGCCCTAGCTTTCTCTGGGACTGAGAATGGGCAGGAAGAGCGGTTGGCCAGCCCCTGTGAGGAGTCTTGAGGAGGTACAAAGGAGACCAGAGAGGCCGGTGGACAGGTGTCTAGCTCCTTGGCTCAAAGTTCAGAGGGCTTTGTTGTGTCCATTGGTGCGTTCTGTTTCCCTTTCTTTCCTTCCTTCCTTCCAGAGAGGGTCTCATGTAGGCCAAGGTGACCTTGAATTCACTATATAGTTGAAGAAGATGACCTTGAACTCTGAAGTCCTCCAGTTCCCATCCCAAGAGTGCTAGAGTTTCAGGTGTGCACCACCTCACATGGTTTTATGCAGTGCCGAGGACTGAACCCGGGACCCTGTGAGTGCGAGGCAAGAAGTGCCAGCCGGACCGTACGCCCAGTCGTTTCTGTTTTTTCTCCCTATTCCCCCTTCTTCTCTTTCGGTAAGGCCTTGCTATGTAGCCCAGGCTGGCCTTGAACTCATAGCAACCCTCCTGCCCCAGCCTCTCAAGTGCTGGGGTTAGAGGCATGAACCACCACATTCAGCTGTTATCATTTCTTCACAGAGTTCCATTCTAGACCTGATTTTAATCCATGGAACATCTTGCCTGGAAGGGACCAAGGGCCATGGAATCCTGTCACTGTTTAGATAACAGGGGGTACAAGGCACGGCAAGAGCCCAGGTTACCCCATCCCTCACTGCTTCTCCCTTCAACACTCTGACTCCACTTTGGCCCCAGGGGGCTGAAAGCCAATGGGGGGTGGGGGTCCCGAAGAGGCCTTGCCTTGGCTGTGGGCCTCTGGCCTGGACCCTTCTGCTCTCTGGGACATGCAATCCTTGCAGGCTGTGGTGGGCTCCTGCGCTAACACATGCATTAGTGGATGAAAGCCGTCTCCAGGGGCTCTTCACCAGGGCCCTTTGGCTGTAATAAAGCAAATTAAAACCCCATTCAAAGGTCAATTGAAATCTCTTTCATGCCACGTTTCCACACAAATTGATTCCTCTTTGCCCTTGGGGTCGCAGTGAATGCCATAAAGGGGCCCAGCTGTAGCTAGATGGGAACAACTTGAAAAATTGCCTCCCCTGGGGCTTTGGCAGGGATGAGGGGGCAGTGGACCCTCCCCTTTCCCAGGACCATCTGGGGCACCAAGGGCCCTCTTCTCCAGTTTGCTCCTGGCTTTGGAACCCATCCATGGAGCTCAAATCCACACTTCTTCCTCCATTCCAGCAGGCTGCCGTCAGAGGAGTCAGGATTCCCTTTAACTAAACTGCCCAGCCTGACCTCAACCTTGAGAGGCCCTTGCCTCAGTATCCCGAGTGCCTGGATGACAGACGTGAATTGTGTGTCCAGCAGACGGACCCAGTGTTTGCACTGACAATCTCTGTTTTATTTCTCTGTATAGCCCTGGCTGTCCTGAAACTCTCTCTGGGGACCTCAAGAGATCTACCTGCCTCTGCTTCCCAAGTGCTGCCATTAAAGGTGTGTGCTGACAATCTTAATAGCAACTGGAATGTTCCCGATCTGCTTGAACCCTGGCCAGCACCATGAGGTGGGCCTTTGAGAAGATCAGAGAGGTTAAGTAACTCTTCAGGGTCACAGAGCTCATGATTTTCTTCCTCACACCATTCCGCCCTGCTGTCTTCCCACATCCCAGAATGATGCATCGTCTTGAGGCCCCGCCTCTGCGTCACTTTCAAATCTGACCTCCGCCCTGGCTTCTACGCTTGTGACTCCCTGACAACCTTGGCTTATCTGTCCCCTAATGACCCTGCAGCAATGGCCAGAGGCACCATTCAAGGAGGCTTTCGGGATCTTGTCTCTGGCTTGGACCCAGTGTGGCTCTTTTCTGCACTTGGCATTTGTAAGGGAGGAGGAATCTTTACGATTGACTTTGACAGGTTCATTTGAGACAGATCCTTGTAAATGACTAGGAGGAGAGAAAGGTAGGTCCTGGGGTGTGGCTCAGTGGCAGAGTACTAGGTTAGTATGTGTGAAGGTCTGGGTTTGACCCCTAATGAAAGAGGGGGAGAGAGAGAGAGAGAGGAGAGAGAGAGAGAGAGA